TCTATTTGATTCTTCTCTCTTTTCTTCTTTATTAGTCTGGCTAGTGGTCTATCAATTTTGTTGACCTTTTCGAAAAACCAACTCCTGGATTCGTTGATTTTTTGGAGGGTGTTTTGTGTCTCTATCTCCTTCAGTTCTGCTGTGATCTTAGTTATTTCTTACCTTCTGCTAGCTTTTGAATGTGTTTGTTCTTGCTTCTCTAGTTCTTTTAATTGTGATGTGAGAGTGTCAATTTTAGATCTTTCCAGCTTTCTCTTATGGGTATTTAGTGCTATAAATTTCCCTCTACACACTGCTTTAAATGTGTCCCAGAGATTCTGGTATGTTGTATCTTGTTTCATTGGTTTTCAAGAAACTTTATTTTATGCTTCCTTTGTTTATGTACCAGTAGGGTATTCAGGAGCAGGGTTATTCAGTTTTCATGTAGTTGATGCGTTTTTGATTGAGTTTTCTTAGTCCTGAGTGTTAGTGATTGCACTGTGTGGTTGAGGAGGCAGTTGTTTACTTTTTGGTTTTGTCATTTGCTGGAGGAGTGCATTACTTCCAGATTATTGTGGTAATTTTGGAACCGTAGTGCGATGTGGTGGCTTGAGTAGATGTTGATTCTTATTCTTTGGGGGAGGTTTCTGTAGATTCTGTTAGGTTGCTTGCTGAGGATGGTTATTTCTGGATATCCCTTCTCTAACTTCTGGTTCTTTTGATCTGTCTAATGGGTTGACAGTGTGTGACAGTCTCCCAATTTTATGTATGGAGTTACGGTTCTTTGTAAGTCTCTAAGGATTTGTTTTATGAATTCGGGTGTCCGTGTATTGGTGCATTATTATCTATGGATAGGTATGCCTTTCCTGTTTAATGTTCCTTTACCATATATATGGCTTTTGTCTTTTTGATCTTTGATGATTTAAGTCCTGTTTTATCAGAGACTGATTGACCCTGCTTTTTTTGTTTCCTTCATTGGGGCTTGGTAAGATTCCTCCATCCCTGTATTTTGTAGCCTAGTATTGTCTCTGCGTGTGAGATGCATTCTCCTGATAAGGCGATGATGGGGTCTGGACTCTTATCCAGTGCCAGTTCTGTGGTTTAATGGAGCTTTAGTCCATTTACATTTAAGGTTAATATTGTATGTGTTTGAACTTGATCTTTGCATTATGATATTATGGGTATTTTGCTCGTTGTTGTTGCAGTTTCTTCCTAGCTCGATTGGGTCTTTACATTTTGTATGTTTTGCAATGGCTGGTAATTGTAGTTCCTTTTCCATGTTAGTGCTTTGCCTTTCGCCTCAGGGTCGTGGTGTAAGGAGGCGTCGGGTGGGTGACAAATCTTAAGCATTGCTTCTTTGTAAAGGATTTATTTCTCTTCATTAATGAAACTTAGTTGGCTTGTATTGATTTGGGTGAAATTTTTTTTCTTTAAGAATGTTGATTATGGCCCACCTTTTTGGACTTGGAGAGTTTCTGCAAGATCTGGTGTTAGGTGATGGGCTCCATTTGTGTGTAATCCTGACCTTTTTCTTGGCTGCCTGAAGATTTTTCCTTCATTTCACTTTGGTGTTCTGGCCATATGTGTCTTGGAGTTGCTCTTCTCGGGGTTCTGTGTGCGTTTCTGGTATTCTGCATTGAGGTGTGGGCCTGCCTACTAGCTTGGGAGTTTCTCCTGGATGGATATCTGAAGAGTGTTTTTCGGCACCTGTGGTTTCCATTTTCCCCCCTCCTTTTTTCAGGGCACCAATTCGACGTAAATTTGGGTCTTTTAATAATTCCATACTTCTTGCGTTTGTTCATTCTTTTTTTCTTGTTCTTTGTTTCTTTTCGCTCTTTCATATTATTCATTTGGTCGCTCAATCGGCTGCTATCTCTTCGTTGCATCGTTGGTACTTGAAGTTGTGATTTGTTACGTATTTCTTCGTTCATGGTTTTCATTCTTTCATTCGTTTCATGACCTTTTGATTAATTACTATGCTATTCATTTCCCACTTTTTTTTAAAGATTTTTAGTTCTTGCGGGGTTACTATCTCTTTGGCTTGAGAGGTTGGACTGAGCTTTCTTATTATCAAAGTTCATTTTCCGTCCA